AGTAGAACTCCTCTTTATCCCACAAAACCCTTCATAGCACTGCTCTTTCTCCTGGATAACAATTCCCCGTTCTGGGTGAGATTTCCCCTCAGGGACCTTGGAGGTGGGGCTAGCCCACTCTCCCAAAGGCTGGGTTTGGAATGGGGACCAGAGTTGAAGGCAGGTGGTGGGCACTTGGGTTTTAGTGTCTGATCTGCCTGTCCTGTCGAAAAAGCTTTGGGACCCCTCTCTGGGAGAAGAGGGAGGAGCGCTGCAGAGTGCCCCAAGGGGGACACCAGTCCAGACCCTGCCTCCAGGGAGTGTGCACCCAAAGGGGTGGGACAGTGGGAAAGCATTTCTTGCAGAACGGGAGGCAGTATGGTGGAGGGGACAATGCCTAGTGGGCAGCATGCTGCCACGTGGGCTCTGGCCCCGGGGTGAGTGTTGGTCCCAGGCCTGGGTGAGGTTTGGGGATGCCCACTGGCATAATTAAATTAATGGTTACTAATTATTCAGCACTTACTCTGTGCCAGGCAAAGGATCCAAGTACTTCATAGATATGAACACTCCTAGGAAATGGGGACCATTGATATGATCCCCATTTTACAGATGAGGAAACGGAGTCCCAAAGAAGCCAAGAGCCTTGCTGAAGATCACACAGCTGGTGAGTGGTGGAGCTGGGATTCAAAAAACCCCCAAGGGGCACCCGAGGCCATGCCCCTCACCCCACTCATGTGTCCCCACAATGGAGGGTTGGCCGGAAGATTACCTAGCAAGTGCTCAATAAATGAATGAATTCAACAAATTTATGCCCATTCAGAAATCTCTCTCTGGCAGCCTCAGCATCCACAGTCCCATCAGCAGGAAATGCTAGAATTCTGCCCCCCACCCCCCGCATTGTCACCATTCAGCGTGTTTCCATCCCCAGGGCCCCGTTCATGACAGCAGCAGCCTTTGCAAGGGGAACTCTACCACCCCATTCTGCAGAGGAGAACACCGAAGTGAAGAGGGAGCTAGCAACCAGAGCCCAGGACCTGCACCCTGCACCTCTCCAGACCTGCACCCTGCACCTCTCCAGACCGCAGGCCCTGCCCGCTGCTTTTTTCAGACAGAAGCAGCCCTAGAAGGGCCGCACAGAAAGGTCTTTTCATCTACACCTGCTGGTCAGGGCAGCGCTCGGCTACTGGCAGTGGCAAAGGGCCGGGGGTGGGGGGTTGGGAGGCGTTAAAAGGGTGAAGGGCTCATGGTTTTGGAACACAGCGGGGTGACAGAAAGCTGGGTGTTGGGGGCAGCCAGAAGGAAGCGCTGGTGTGAAAGGGAAGGGGGCGGGGATGAGAACTTCAGCGCTTCCTACTTTTTCTTGCAGTGTCTGCAGCTTGAGAGGGAAGAGCGGGGCTCTGCCCGGAGATGCTATGTGACCTCTTGGGGGCCTGTACCCTTTCTGGAGCCACTGGTCCCCAGAGCTCTCTGTTTGGACATCATCCCCTCTCGGCCCCGGGGGCTGAGTGCATAGAAGGGGCTCTGCTGGAGGCGGGACCAGGGCACTCTCTAGACCAAGCGGTGGGGGGGGGGGGGCAGGTGGACAGTAGTTGAACCCTTGAGTGGAGGGAGCAGACGCTGAAGTCCTCTGGAGCCATCCAAGGCACAGAGTCAGCCCCGTGCTCTCTCAGGCCCCAAACTGGTCGTGGGCACAGCTGATCTGCCCCAAAGCTCACAGGCCCCCACCCGGAGGCCAAGGCTAGGCGGTGCCTCCTCCCGTCCGACTCCAGCCCCTGCAGGGACATCTCTGGATGGGAGCGAGGGAAGGACTTCTGTTTACTGAGGCCCTACTGTGTGCCAGGCTCTAGCCGAGTGCCTCACACGCTTTCTGACTGAACCCTCCCTGTGGCGGTTGCAACAGCAGCTCAGAGGGTGAAGCGGCTTTTCCGGAGTCACCAGCGCCTGAGTGGAATCCGGGCTTGGTAGCTCTGGCCTCCTCTCCCGCTCCCACTGCCTTGCTGATGGAGGCCCGCCGCCACCGCGGTCTCGCGACCTGCTGGGGGCAGGGGGCCAGGCCAGCCTGTGTGGGCTCCTAGGGCCCCAGGTTCCTGCTGGCTCTTGAATGCCTGCCTCCTCTGCAGGGACTTCCTCCGTTGGCATCCTCGTGCTGGGTTAGAGGGTGAGGGAGGAGAGGGAGGAGGGAAGGATCAAAGGGAGGTCAGCTCAAGCCCTGGGAAGTCACCCCTGCTGGCTTTCTCCTGCAGGACTGAGGCTAGGGGGAGACTGTCGGTGGGGTCCGGGCTGCCTAGGGGCAGAGCCCAGCAGGAGAGCGTCAGCTCTGACTGCTGGACCACTGGGTGTAGGGGGCAAGCGTGGAAAACCGGAGTGGGACCTGGGTAGGGACAAGACGCTCATGACAAACTGCTGGGGACTTTTTGGTGCTTCATTTTCACTTCCCCAAAGTCCTCCTGCCGGGCCCAGGGGACTGGGTGGGGTTTTCCACGATGACTTCCTCCGCGGCTCCCCTCCTCTCCGGCTGGCTGGTTAGTCTGTCTCCTTCAAGCTCTTCCACTGCCCTGATGGGCCTGGGCTTTCCTGGAACCTCACATGGGGCCTGTTCCAGGGGCCTCCTCTGGGGGGACACTGCTGGGGTTCTCTCCCTCAGAGACAGCAGGCACAGCTGCGTTCGCAGGGGCTTCTGGGGTGGGATCTGTGGATGGAGCAGAAGAGACTTCATCACAGGGACTGGGGGCTGAGCCGGCAGCGGGTCGGGGGGTCTGGGCCTTAGGGCTCACTTGTGGCTGGGCCTCATGGTTCACCTGTGGCTGAGCTGAGGAGTTCAGCTGAGGCTGGACCACAAAATCTGAATGTGGGGAGGCCACAGAATCCAACTGTGGCTGTGCTGTGGGGTCTGCCTGTGGCTGGGCCGTGGAGGTCACCTGGGGTTGGGCCCCTGCCATAGGCCCTGGCAAAGTCTGACCCCCAGAATCCACTTGGGTCTGTGGCTCGGCCGGTGTGAAGCTGGCGGGCCATTCTTCGCAGAGAGCTGCCGCGAAGGAGGAGATCACGGTGCGCAGCAGGGCCTGGAGGTCGGCACTGGCCAGGAGGCAGAGGAAGGGACTGAGGCAGCTGTTGAGCAGGACCAGGTAGTCGGAGTAGACCAGGGCTTCCCAGAGCAGGTAGCCCGGGTAGATGTCCCACAGGAAGGCCAGGTACAGCAGCTGTGCCAGGTGGTAGGGCAGCCGCAAGACCACGTAGGCTGACAAAATGGTCTTGGCCACACGAGCAAAGCCACGGCTGGCCGTGGGCCTCGGCTGGTGGCGGCAGCAGGTCTTGCAGGCGGCAGCCTGGGTGAGCACGTGGCAGACGAGCAGCAGGAGGAAAGGCAGGAATCCCCCCAGGATCTCGAGCATCCGCAGCGGCAGCTCCTCGCTGTCCCAGAAGTCCAGGCAGATGACCAGGTCATACCACCAGACGGCGGCCTCCGGGAAGACCAGCCAGGGCACACTGAAGAGCGTGGCCAGCACCCAGACCCCGGCGCAGACCCAGAGGGGCAGGCGGGCCGGGCGGTGCCCCGGGTACCAGTGTGGGCACAGTGCCAGCAGGCAGTGGTCCAGGCTGAGGGCCGCCAGCAGAAAGAGGCCAGAGGAGTAGGACACGCCCCACAGGAAGTAGTAGAAGCGGCAGGCCGCCGTCCCCAGCGGCCAGTGCCCTCCGCGCTGGATCTCCAGGATCTGGAAGGCCGCTGCCGCCAGGAACAAAAAATCCGAGAGGGCCAGGCTGAGCAGGAGCAGGGCAAGCCGCGTGCCCGCTCCCTGCCGAGCCTGCGAGCCAGCCAGCCACGCCATGAGCCCATTGGCCGGCAGCCCCAGGAGCAGCAGGGCCACCAGGAAGACCGTGTCCCAGATGCCCTGGGGATAGTAGTCTTCATCGTCCAGCTCTGTGCGGGGCCCGAGGCCAGCGGCACCCAGGTCAGCTTCCATCGCAGTGTCCTTCTGAGGTCCCCAGTGTGCTGTCGGCTGCAGAGCGGGGGCCTGATGAACCAATGAAATCATGAGGGACTGAGTATGAGAGAGAGGGTGCTGTGTTCTCTCCAGGCACGTCACTGTCCCTCTCTGAGCCATCGTCATCACCTTTGGGGTAGTTAGCCTCTGCCAGAGCCTTTAAGTAGATGACGGCACCTAGTCTTCATACAATCCGTTTTACAGGTGAGGAGGGGAAGGTTCAGAGGATCGGTGACTTGCCCAAGGTCAGAGGTAGGACAGAGGCACCAGGCCTGAACCTCAGACCTAATCAGTTTGCCACACGGAATCCCAGCGTGCCCAAGTAGACTTGGCTTTCAAACATATTTTAAAAGCTGGTGAATGTTTTCTTCAAATGAAATATTACAGTGGAGCTCCCAATGAACTAGAAGGGAGTGCTCAGATTAGAGGAGGGGGAGCACCCCTGGGGCTCCAGGGAGGACAGTTTGTGCAAACTGCTTGGTCACATTGCCGCAGGCCCCTTCCCATCTGGTATCCTGGGGTTCGAGGGTTTTAAGATTCCCAGTGGGGGGGTGCTCAGGGCCCCATGGGCTCGTAGCAGTCCCAGGAGCCTGGGCCAGAGAAGGCCCGTCCCCCCAGCAAGTGCGGTTCATGAATTCAGGGGGAGGTCTGCAACTCAGGCCAGGACCTGTCCTGGAAGCAGCTCGAGCCTCTTCATCATCCTCGACTCCCACCTGTGGCCCTGTCCACATTCTCACAGCTCAGGCAGAAAGCGGTCCTCTGAGGCCACCAGACAGGGAAGGAGTCGGGGGCTCAGCAGCGTGATGAGGATAGGGTGGCTGGGACCCAGAGGCCTGATGCCGCTCCCTCTCCGCCCCCACCTTCCCTCACGGGGCCGAGGGAGTTTCCCTCCGAGGGTGGAGAGAGAGCTGGTGGCAGCACTGAGTCAGGGGAGGAAGTAGATGCCCCCCAAAGGCTGGCTCCTGCCTGTGGCCTGCGACTCCAGCCCCTCGGCTCTCCTCTCCCCTAGGGCTCTTCCTCAGGCAGACCCTGCTCTGCAAGCTCCAGCCTCTACTGGATCAGAGCCCTGGGCTCCCCTGAGCCCCAACGGGTGAGGCCTGGCTTACCTGTGCGGTGCGGGCTGCTGGCGGAAAGAGCAGGGCGTGCCTGCCTGCACAGTGGTCCCGCCATCCGCGGGGCCCCACGCCTGCGGGGCCTGCTGCACGGTGCCCGGCGGCGGGCCTGAAACCCAAGCTGAGAAGACATCAATCATTCATGGGGCTGCTCGCTGGGAAACCCTAACCCCGGCTTAGCAGAGCCGAGTGACCAGCCAGGCCACCCCATCCCTGACAGCCAGATGGCTACAACTTTCTCACCCTGCTGCCTCCGGGCAGGCTCTGGGTCCCCCCCCCAGCCCATGGTCCACCTCCTCTGATATCTCCCCCATGTCCCTCACTCTGGCATCAAGGCCTCTGCGATCTGGCCTCGCTTCCTCAATTTCACACACCCTCCACTCCGGCCACGATGTACTCCCCTGAGGGGCTGCAGTGGGCAACTCGTCCTATCCTTTCCCACCTCCCAGCTTTTGCCCACACTCTGCCTCCTGACATGACTTCCCTTGTCCTCTCTTAGCTAAGTCCGCCCACGTCATGCAACTGGAGTTGGGGACTGGAGTCGAGAACAAAGAGGTCCCGACTCTTTAGCAATATGGTCCCCGTTTTATAGATAAGGCGACTGAGAGGTGAAATTGCTGGGCCTCCCAGCTCATGAGTGGCAGAGCCAGAGTCCAATGCTCCTTGTGACCCCGTGTCCTGGCACCGCTGTGGCTGAGGACAGTTCTCTTCACGCATCTGGCTCTGCCCCCAGGCAGAAGGCTGGGATTAGGGCCTGGGCTGCCTGCCTCACTTACCCTAATCCCCCTCAAGTCTCATCCCAGGCCATCAGCTCTCACCGTAGGGGTGCATAAGCAGCTTTATGGTTCCTGAGAACCAAGGGTGCTCCCTGGAACTGCATCTCTGAGCCCCGTTGTCCCTCCCCACATGGCCACAGACCAGGCGAGGGGGCAGCATGGCCCAGACCAGGCCCCCGGCCCTCAGAAGCCTCCTGTGGGGGTCGGGTCTTCCAGGAGTGGTGCTGAGGGCCTCCCCTTGACCAGGAAGAGGAGCAAGAAGGAGAGGGGGCTCCGAGGGTCACGGAAGGGTGCTGACGGTTCTCAGGAACAGACCCCCATCCCGGGCCCCGAGGCCCCAGGGAGCAGCAAGAACCCCTCTGGGACTGGAGAAGGACAGGGGGAGACAGGTCCTGCAGCCTCTGAGCCAGCCTCCCGTCGCCAGTCCCACCGGCATCGCCCCATCCCCCAGCACGATGCTGCTCAGAAGACCTACGGGCCCCTACTCAATCGCATCTTCGGGAAGGTCAGGGGGGCCTGGGCAGGGGACGGGGGTGGGGGTGGAGTGGGGATCACACCTGTGCCCTTGGACTTAGCCCACCCTGTCCCTGGTACTCGGGCCTCCTGCCACCTCTGCTCCAGACCCAGGAGCCTGAGTTGTAGGGGCAGGGTTTCTGCGGTTTGGGGGAAGGGTTGGGGACTGGGCAGAGCTAGACTTCAAACCCAGCATTCTGTGAGAGCTCTGGGCCCCAGGAGCGGGAAGGGGGGGTGGTCATCTCTTCTCTGGGGGCCTATGGGACTTCAACTGCCTTCTCCTGCCCTGGTGGGACTGGCCCTGCCCAGGCCGCTGTGGCCCAGGGCTGGAGGAGGAAGGATGGGCCCCAGGGACATGCTGGACTGTGCCTCTGCAGGACCGCGAGCTGGGCCCTGAGGAGCTGGATGGTGAGTGGCCCTTGCTGGTGGCAGTGGCAGGTGGGAGGTATCCCTGAGCCGGACTGCCTGGGCCTGACGTCCCTCCCCTGCAGAGCTGCAGGCCGCCTTCCAGGAGTTTGACACTGACTGTGATGGATACATCGGCTACCGGGACCTGGGTGCCTGCATGCGGACTCTGGGCTACATGCCCACCGAGATGGAGCTCATCGAGGTTTCCCAGCACGTCAAGATGCGGAGTCAGTGGCTGATCCCCCACCACCCCAGGGCGGGGTGGGGCACAAGTCACCTGGCTTTGTGCCGAGGCTGGGCAGCCCTGGGCCTCTCTGAGTCTCATGGTTTGGGGGACGACGACGGGGTGGCGGGAGGTGGCTCTGGGAGTCCGCGGGGGTGATGGTGGGAGTGTGCGACGGTTTCTAGGGCATTTTGACCGTCTGACATTAGCCTTGGCAGATGCAGGGGTCGTGAAACGTACCAGTGATCCAAGAGACCCTTGGGGCTCAGCTGAGGACCCCCTCTGTCCTGTGATAACATGTGGTAAAATGCTCCCTGCTGGTACTAGGCAGCAGGCTCTCTGTCTCTGTCTCTCTGACTCCCGAGGCCCCTGAAAAGAACCTCCTGAGGTTCAGTGAGGCCTAGTGTGACCAAACCCTGGCCTTTCCTTGTGGTTAAGTGTCGGATGGACAGGCACTTGTGATTATCATTAGCTAATTTGTCAAATATCAGATTCCCTTCATTCCAGGCCACCTGCCTTTGTTTTTCCTATGGTTTCTTACAATTGATGTGAACATTAAGTGCTATGCTTCTTTTCTTTCCCCCAAACCTGCTATTTGGCTCTTGGTGCTTTTTACAATTAGAATCAAGGAACTACATGGGCATGTTCCTTAAAGGGTATTTATTGCTGCCAATGGGGTCCCAGCACATAAGAGCCATGAACTGCAACCCCAATAGCACGCAAGAGTGGGTCCTCTCATCCTCGCCCCAGGATGAGGAAGGAGGGTTCATGAGTCACCCAAGGCCATGCCCCTTTGGCAGCAGAGACAGAGTCTGAACCTGGGGCTGCCTGGTTCCAAACCTTGGTCTCCTTCCCCCACACTTCGGTGCTTCACTGAGAGCACCCAAGCACCTTGCCCCGTCATCCCCTTGGAGAACGGGGCTCCCGCCTCCTCTCCCCTCCCCCCAAGGGCTTGGATGCAGAGCTGGGGAGAGGCTGGTGCTTGTGACACTTGTGACGTCCCTCCTCGGGCCCAGCCCTCTCCATTGTGATGCTCTGCCTGGGTCCACAGTGGGTGGCCGCGTGGACTTCGAGGAGTTTGTGGAATTGATGAGCCCAAAGCTGAGGGAGGAGACGGCGCACATGTTGGGGGTGCGGGAGCTGCGCATCGCCTTCCGAGAGGTGTGGAGAGTGGTCGAGTCGGGTGCTGGGTGGGTGGCTGGACAGCAGACTTGCTGGTCTCCCATCCAGGCCAGAGAGACGGGGGCCTCAACCTCTGGAGGCCCACAGCCCTGCAAATGGTGGGGCTAGGGCCAGGGAGGGGTTGGAGGGGGTCCAGCTCACTCTCAGCTGTGGGATCCACCCAAGGAGACTTCCTGGAGCAGGGGGAGCCTGTGTCTCGGCCTGGGAGGAGGTGGAGGGTTTGGATGGGCGGAGGTGGGAGCATCTAGGCACAGGATGTGGCAAGATGAAGACATGTCCAGGCAGAGCCAGCTTTGGGTGGGAGGGGCTGAGCCCTGCTGGACCCTAGTTCGACAGGGACAGAGATGGACGGATCACAGTGGCAGAGCTGCGACAGGCAGCCCCGGCTCTGCTGGGGGAGCCACTGGTGGGTCCTGAGCTGGACGAGATGCTCCGAGACGTGGACCTCAATGGGGATGGCACCGTAGACTTTGATGGTGAGTCTCCTTCCCAGACAACCCCACCCCTCCAGCGCCCAGGGGGAGCCCAGCATTTCCTGCGATCCCTGACCAGGACTGGCCCAAGCCCAGCCCCTTCTTTCCTCCAGAATTTGTGATGATGCTTCTCACCCACTGAGGCTCCAGAAGGGAGAATGTGTTGCCCCTCTGGCCCCAGGACAGCAGGGTTCATGCTGTACACCCTCCCCACGAAGCCCCAGAATGGAAGAGACCCAGCAGCTCCCAGGCTTCTTCAGAACCTTGACAACATCTGGCTGGAGAGTTGCCTTGTGATGTCACCCACCCACCTGCATCCTCACCTTCCTCCCACCTGAGCTGCCTGGAGGAAACCTGCATCCAGTGGCCTATCATTCTCCAGTATGAGCAAGATTTGGATCTCTCCAGACCCTTGGGAGGTAGCAAGCTCCCTGGTGCTATAGCATTCAAAGACAGGGGGACAGAGTTGGGGGGATTCTGGCAACATGGCGAATGGGGAGGGTGGCTGGGTGCCTCCCACTACTTGTGTAAAAATGTTAAAAAGAAAAAAAAAAGCTTAACTTGAAAGAAAGCCAGGGATAACCCCCGGTACTAAAGACAAAGCAAGAACTCAGAGCTGGGTGGGGGGAGAGAGGGGACACCATGGGGGCCTCAGCCATGGAGAGGTTCGGGAGCCTGGGCTCTGACACTTATGAGTGACAGAAGACCTGTGAGAGGCTGAGGAACAGAACATGAGCCCGAGTACCTTCCAGGATCTCAAAGGGCTACCCTGGTCTTGAAAAGGGGATCAAAATATATTTCCACCTACTGGCCTGAGGAAATGGCAAGGGTACAGGTGTCCAGGGCCTTGAGTGGAAAAAGCTGCCCTAAGGAACCTGAAACTCAGGCTTGCACATTAGGCAGGAAGGCTGAAGAAATAGGGAAAAACTACTGGAAGGGCAGTCTTCAACCCAGGACACAATGGACTTAAACAAACAACCCTGTCACTTCTGAAGATGAACTCATGATAAAAATTACAAATCACGTAAGAAAACAAGTCACCATGGGGGGGACTAGGCAGATGCAACAAACAGGAGAATCAGCACCCCAAAATATAATAGGACAATCTGAAAGGGACCATAAAGTAAATGCAAACAAAAATGAGATAAAAGAAGGGAGAGAGGCCAATATGGCCAATATGCAGTAGCAGGATAGTCTGAAACAGAACAGGAAGATTAAAAAGAAAGACCCAATAGAACTTCTAAAAATAAAGGATATAGCCATTGGAATGAAAAAAAAAAAATCAAGGGATAAGTTAAACAGCAGATTAGACACAATTCAAGAGAAGATTAATGAACTGGAAGCTACATCTGAGAAATCACCCATAAGGTAGCACCGAGGGATAAACTAATGGAAAATATTACAGAGTGGTTAAAAGTCATTAGGAGTCTCCAAAGGAGAAATTACACAGAGTGGGCAGGAGGCAATACTCAAAGACATGATAGCTGAAACTTTTCCATAAAGGCTTCCACAAAGACAAGCACCCAGATCAAAGGTACCCACTAGAGCCTGGGAAGGAGAAATAAAAACAAATGCATATCTAGATGCATTTCGGTGGAACTGCAGAACACAAAAGGAAAACCCTATAAACAATCAACTTGAGACAAAAGTCAGATGACTTATCCAGGAACAGCAATTAGGCTCTGCGAAGACTTTTCGTTGGCTACAGTAAATGCCAGAACACAATGAAATAAACTGTTCATCATGCAGAGGAGAAATGATTGTCAACCAAGAAGCCTATACCTCACTGAATCATTATTCAAGAATGAAGGCGAAAACACCTACTTTTTTCAGGAAACAAAGGCTGGGAAGAGTTTCCCACCCACATGCTCTCGTTGAAGGGATGGCTTCAGTAAGAAGGAAGTTCAGACCAGAACGAAAGCAGAGTATGTACTAAATTATGGTCAGGAAAGCGATCAGTAAACATATTGGTGGATCTAAAGAAGCATTAACTGTAAAAAAAAAAAAAAGTTAATTTGGAGGATTTTAAAAATAAAGGGACTAAAATAATAGACGAAATAAAACGGAAGATGGGAGGGGATACTTTAGACATGCTGAAATCTTTTTCTCGTCTTTCCTAGAGGAGGATAGATTCACTGATCAGCTTTAGAATTTGTTAACCGTTTAAAGGTAATCATTAATGTATAGAAAGAGAGATAGAATGCTTTGTTCAGGAGTCAAATCCATAGGGGGAAAGTGAAGAATTCTTTTTTTTTTAAATTTTATTTATTTATTTAACAGAGAGAGAGAGCAGAGTGGCAGGCAGAGGGAGAGGGAGAAGCAGGCTTCCTGCTGAGCAGGGAGCCCGACGCGGGGATTGATCCCAGGACCCTGTGATCATGACCTGGGCCAAGGCAGACGCTTAACCGACTGAGCCACCCAGGTGCCCCAAAATTGAAGAATTCTCGATTGAACCAGTAGAAGGCTACAGAAGAGGGAAAAAAAGGTAAAGAAAAACAAAGTCCATGAAAACATTAAAACAGAAGGTAGGAAGGGGTGCTCAGTAGCTCAGCCAGTTGAGCATCCAACTCTTGATCTCAGCTCAGGTTTTGATCTCAGGGTCATGAGGAGTTCAAGCCCCGAGTTGGGCTCCATGCTGGGCATGGAGCCTACTTTAAAAAAAAGACACACACAAAAAAACAGAAGGTAGGGACAATCCTTAAAAAATAAGAATTCCAATAATTATGAGCAGATTAAGTTTTTGGTTAAAGTGTCTCAGCCCCAGAGGAAAGTTTCAGTATGAGACTGGTTTTCCTGTAACTGACAGAGATCCCAAATAACAATGCTTTAAAAGGATAGAAGTTTATTAAGTGAAATCCAGCTGTATGGTCTTCAGGGACCCAAGCTCCTGTTAGCCGCCCTGCCATTCCTGGGGTATGCCCAAGTTTGTTCATTTTCCAGGTGGCAGGTTTGGAGGCAGGAACAAAGGACAAAGGCGGACAAAGAATGTGAACCACTCATACCCCATTAGGTAGGGCTCCTCACCTGGTACACGTAGCTGCAAAGGATGCTGGGAAATGCGGTCTTTATTTGGGCCGGCCACATGCCCAGCTAAAGACCAGAGGTCCTTCTACTGTAAGGGCAGAGAGCAGACACCAAAGGGCAGATACTAGGCTCTTCCCCACAGCTGAGTGCAGGATCTAAGAGCATAACAAGAATCGAAAGGCCGAAAGTGATGACTTGGAAAACGGATTTACTAGGAGAAAATGAACCAAAGGAAGCTCATATAAATACAGGCTTAGCAGACAGAAATGGGCTACGAGGCAAAAAGCATTAGGGATAAAATGAGTCACAATTCACTGAGGAAATCTAATGTTCCTCGTCTGGACACAACTATCGATATATTTTTCTTTTTTCTTTTTTTAAAAAATTATTTACTTATTTGAGAGAGAGAGAGTGAGAGAGAGAGCACGAGAGGGGGGAGGGTCCGAGGGAGAAGCAGACTCCCCGCCGAGCAGGGAGCCCGATGCGGGGCTCGATCCCGGGACTCCAGGATCATGATCTGAGCTGAAGGCAGTCGCTCAACCAACTGAGCCACCCAGGCGCCCCTCGATGTATTTTTCAATGAAGAAAGAAGTTACATTTAGAGTTTAGATATTCATTATTCCCTGAGGATAGTGTTAGTGTCAATCCAGTTTGCATTACATAAATTAACCAGCAAAAATCAAGCACATTGGTCATGTTGAAACTTTAAATGTGATTCAGTGTTCTGTCAATGTGTTCACATAGACCAGCGATTGGTCAACTTTTTCTGTAAGAGGCCAGACAGTGTAGATTTTAGGCTTGGAGGACCATATGGTTTCTGTCATGACTGCTCAGCTCTGTATCCCCAAGCAGCCATGGCCAACACAGAAACCAATAGGTGTGGCTGGGCTGGAAATTTAGTAATTAATTGACTAAGCTTGATTCACTGACACTGAACTTTGAATTTTATCAACTTTTATGTGTCATGAAATTGTATTATTCTTTTACTTTCCCCCCCAACCATTACTAAAATGTAAAAACCACTTTTAGCTTGGGGACCATATTGTGTCTGTGGACTCTCACTTGCTGACACCTACTGTAGTCTTATAATACAGAGACTCACAACCTCCGCAATAACTTCCTGTTTAGTTAAGATCGTGGAATGACAAAAAGTTATGAGCATAGTAGCAACTCTGTATTAATTGCCTATTTGCTCACAATGAATGGTTTCCATAATTTTCCTTTTTCCCTGTGTTTGTTCTGATTATATTCATTGAAATGTAATTTTATGTCTGATTAGTCTGGTAATACAGATTGTGGGCTTATATTCTATATGTCTTTTTTTATTTCACTTTCCCAGGTTTTATTTTATCTTGCCAGAGTACTGGTCCATGATGGATTAGAAATGAAAACTGGTCCTTTACCAGAGCTAGTTTGAGAACCACTGATTTAGGAATTCCTGCATCCAACTGGTGCCCTTAAAAGTGCCTTGACTGGGGGCTGAGGGGCTGAGGGTGGGAAGTCTGGGTGGGCCAGGAGAGCAGGTCTGGGGGTTAATTCTTTCAACAAAGTCACAGAAACCTATAGATATTGTTTTGGCTGCTGCAGACACAGTGGGGGCCAGGCCGCATCTCTTCTCAACTGCACTCATGGTGTACTGTAAACATCTAAGTATATGAACAGGATCTACCTCAGCCCATAGTCCTTCAGCCAGCCCCTTGGGTGGTCAGCTGGGGACACCCGTGCTCTGTATCCTCTCCTCTCCCTCCCCCACCCAGGTGTCAGGGAAACCTTGGGTTATGTTCCTAACTCTGCCCTTACGTGAATCAGTCTCTCTGGACCTTGGTTTCGTCATCTGTAAAATAGGGCAAAGGTGGTAATTACCAGAAATCACCTGTGTTAAGTGCTTAGCACAGGACCTGCTGCCTTCTAAGAGCTTGATAAATGGTAGCTATTAGGATTATAGATTTCAGGGTTCTCGAAGATTCTATTTCCTGGCTCTCAAGATTCTGAGATGCTTGGGTTTTCCCAAAGTCTGAGATGGTGTGTTTCCAATGTTCTGTGGTTCTAAGAGTCTTCGATCACTGAGGTTCTGTGATATGGGCCCTGTTTCCCATTAGTCTTTGCCCCTACTTCTCCCAATCCCAGGACTTGGGAAGTAGGCCAGTGGGCGGAGAGGGCTGGGCTGCAGCCTCGTCATGGCCCACATTCAGAGCTGGCTGTGGCAGCCCAGGGCCCCAGAGCCAGGCTGCAACCAGGATACCAGCCTCCAGGCCCCAGGCCTGCGTCATCTGAGTGCCCTTGGCCAGGGCCTCCAGGTAGAGAATGGGCAGGGCCAACTCTGCTAAGGGCTGAGGGAGATGGGAGGCTGGAAGGACCTCCAAAAGGCTTGCAGGACAGAGTCCCAAGCCCAGCTCTGCCCCAAAAGCGCAGGAGCAAGTCTTAGGAGCATCAGGACTGTCACAGGTACAATGAGAAAATGGGTGGTCCTGGAGCCCCTCAGCTCCATCAGCCCTTTCCTCAGTTTTTGCGGGAGGGGGGCTGTGGCCAGGTTGGTGGGCTGGGCAGGGCTGGTGGGAAAGAAAGATCAGTGGTCTCTTCTGGAATGAAGTACATTCTTTTATTAGCACAAAACACCACCAACCCAGCAGCCCCAGGGCCCGAGAATAAGTTAAGGCACAGAACAGGCCAGGGGCGACTTTTCCAGGCCCGGGTATTGGGCAAACTTCCTGAGCAAACTTCCGAGGGGGTTGGGGGCTCCCGGGTCCCGGAGTTCTTCCCTGGAGATGAGGGAACCAGAGCGGGGCGGACCCGAGGAACGCCCCCTGGGGCCGCTTGGAGACGAGGCTGGTTCCCGGCCGCCCGCGCGGCTCACTTCTCGAAGTAGGGCAGGTAAAAGAACTGGAAGCCCCGGTGGCCCTTGACCGCGCAGTAGATGAAGATCACGTGGTAGACTGCGGGGCGGGGCCGGTCAGCGCCGAGGCCCCGCCCCGCCCCGCCCCGAAGCCCTTTCGCACCTCCGGGAACCAACAACAGGAAGCCGGGCACGAAGAAGATGGCGCTGGAGACACCTGCAGGAGGAGGGGCCGAGTCAAGGATGGGGGGCACGGGGCGGGGCTCAGGGGTCCCTGCCTGGGCTAGTCTCACTGTCCCCGGTAGAAGGGACCGTTTCCTGCTAGGAGGGTGGAAGCAAACTTCCGAGGAGGCTGGGGGCTCGCGGGTCCCCGAGTTCTTCCCTTGAGGGGACCCCCGCTGCCAGCGGAGGTAGGAGGGGACGCTCACCTGGCGAGGGGGCCACCTCCAGTCCCACGGCGATCAGGATCAGCACTGCACACAGATGGAGCCGCGAGGGTGAGGGCCGGAGGAGGGGGCAGGCGCTGGGGGCAGGGCGGGGACCTCCACCCACAACCCCCAGCAAGGCTTAGGCCCTAGGAAGAGTCCCCCACCTGAGCTGAAGGTTCCCTAGCCAGAGACCCTTCCTGGGAAGCTCAGCAAGCTCTGTGTTTTCAGAGCAGGGCACCCGGCAGGCCCTGGGAAATATCCGAAACCAGATTTGTCTCTGCTCCTTGATGTGGCCTTTCAGTCAATCAACAAATATTTACAGAACACCTGCTGTGTGCCTGGTACTGAGAATCCCACAGGGAAAGGCAAATGAGGTCCCTGCTCTCTAGTGGCACAACCAGCAAGAACCTCCAAGCTACAACCCCAGTGATCAGGCGGTGGAAAGGCCAGATCAGGCAGCATGGGAGCCTGGGGCATCAGGGAGGGGCTTCTTGGAGGCAGTGGCGACGAAACTGAGCAGGGGTAGCAGTACCCAGAGCAGGTAACATTTAGTTACCACTTAGCAGGTGCTGCCAGGCACCGGGCTGAGCTTGTTACCTGCACTGCTTTATTATCAATGTGACTGAATGAAACAGGTATGATCATCCCCATTTCACAGAAGATGAAACTGAGGCACAGAGAGCTGCATTCAGAAGGAGGAGGTGATCTGACTCGAGGCTTTGCTGTGGGCATCATGTGGGCAGAAAAGGAGAGGAGTGCTCCAGACAGAGGGAGCAGCATGGCAAAGGCCCAGCGTCTGGAGGGAACTTGGGGCTTTCTAGGAGCTTCCAACTTTTGGCAAGAGTGGAGAGGCAAGAGCCCAGGCTTGAGGTGTTTGGCAGGGCCTGGAGACCCGGTGAGGGATGCGGACTTTGGCTGAGGACAGCGAGTGTTGGGGAAGTCATGGCTGGATCAACTTTTCAGACCCAGAGAGAGTCCTGGGTCCCCAGTTACAAGATGGGATTGGGGGGAGGTGGGGGACCCGGGCTCTGCAGCAAGGGGGGCCATATAGCACAGAGGCTTGAGGGGCCACCATGGACTGCTATGGGATTTGTGCCCTGCACAGAGCACCTCAAAAAGGGTACGGATTGGGGCTGATACACTACCTGCCACCTTGGCTTAGGGCTGGGGGCCCTGCCCACTCAGAGGAGGCGTCTTTTTCTAATTCCTCCAAAGGCCTTTTATAGGTCTACGGCCGCCTCCAGGCCTGGTACTGTCCTTGATGTGGGTTTAAATCCCAGCTCAGCTACTTCCCAGCTGAGGTCTGAGCAAGTCCCTTTACCTGCCCGAGGCTCTGTCCTTACTTCTGAACCAGAATGGTAATAATGCTTGGCCTCACGGGTACTGAGAGAATGAAAGGGGGTAAGGCAGGTGGCCAGTGTGACCAGTGCCCAGCTTGCAGTGACTGCTGGACAAACAATGGCTCCTTTCCCCCACGCACCCCTGCACACAGACACCCAGAGCTGAGGCAAGGCTGCTGCTCAGCTTTCTGGCCAGGGGTCTCTGATCATCCCGGAGCAGGGAGAGCAGCTGCCACAGCCGGGCTGTCCTTATGGGTCCCTCTTGATCCCAACCCTGTCCTTTCTGGAGATCCTGAGGCCTCAGCCCCATAGAGTGAGTCCAAAAACATCTGGCTGCGAGATCTGCCTGCTCTGGGCTTCACTTTCCCCATCTGGGCAATGGATGTGCACAGCGCGGGGCGGGGAGAGGTCCTCACCTGCGCTCAGACTCCAGAGAAGGGGAAATGACAGGTGCTCTGGGGGTAGGGCTGGCAGGGATATCTCTGAGCACCTGTCCCTACACAGGTTCTGGGTCATGGCCCTGCCTCCCTCTTGCTGTGTGACCTCCGTAAGGCAGGAAAATAAGCCTCCCCTGCACCTGGCTCAAAGTAGACACAGAATAAATGGTGGAGCTGTTACTCTTCTGCTCCCTGATGGATTACATGGGCTTAGGGAAAAAAAAAAAAAAAAGAAGAAGAAGAAAGAAGAAAGAAAAGTTTGGAGCACCGAACCAAGTTCCATTTTCAATTACGTGTAATTTCCTGGCTGTGTGACCAGGAGACTGGGCCCACTCCTCCCAAGGCCTCAGTTTCTTCACCTGTAAAATGGGCGTGGGGTGATGGCAGCCAGCTGCCTGCTCAGGATGCAGGGAGGCTCAGTGTGCCAAGGGGGATGCTGAGCTGGCACAAAGGGACACCGGACCCCTCCTGGGGGTAGGCAGGGGACCCTCAGGGCACTCACCCAGCCCCAGCAGCAGGAGCAGGAAGGAGGCCAGCACTACCCGGCGGTTCTTCTGGATCAAAGGGTGTTGAGTCCAGCTGGGTGGCGGGACAGCAGGATGGGTGTGAGAGGTGACAGGAGCCAAACTCCCTCCTGTTACCCTTCCCCACCCAGAGGACTGAGGGAGAAAGCCCAGGCCGCCTGTTCTGGGGCACAGAGCACAGGGGGCTTAAGCAGGGCAGGGTCTCACCTGCAGCAGGCATGGTAGGAGCGCTGGGTGCTATTGCTGATGGTGCTGAAGGACCACTGGGAGCTGCGGATGGACGTTCGGCTGGAATCCCTGCAGGCCAGGTGGGCCCAGTGAGAGGCAGAGGAAGCAAGGAAGGGGGGGTCATGATGACGTGGTGGGGGATGGTGCAGGGACTAGGGCTGGGTGTTCCTGCGGGATGAGGGCACTGAGAGGGGACAGGGTGACAAGGAATTCAAGGGCTGGGGGGTCTCTGCAGGACTGAGGGTGGAGAAAGGCTGAGGATTCAAGCTAGGGATTCCTGCAGGACAGGTGACCTGTGCGGAGGTAGGGGCCAGACCAGGCTGGGGGGTTTCTTCAGGATAAAGAGCCTGGTAGGGGTGGGTGGGTGTGCCTGGCACTGGGGTAGGGTGACGCTGCAGGACAGGGGAACCCATGAGGGGAGTGGGGATCAGGCTAGGAATCCTTGTAGGACAGGATGTGAAAGAGCTGACTGTTGTGAGGTGGAAGACTGGCCAGGGACCTGGGGGACAGGAGCCAGAAGCATAGGGCTAGAGGTACAGGATGGGTCCCCACCTGGCCCTGACCTGTTGCTGACTCCCCCATCCGGCTCCGGAGAGGCCTGGGCTCCGTCCTCATCGTTCTCCAGGTTCTATTCCAGAACACAGGGCTCAGAGGGGTTATTGGGCCCAGGCCCTTCCTACTCCCCTCTCAGGGAGAGGAGGAGAGCAAGCCCACACAGCTGTTTGCCTGGCCGCCTGACAGCTGCTCACCTGGCCCTCCACCCTCCCGCAAAACAGGTTTGATGATTCACAGAAACCGAAACCCAGGTAGGAGGTGGGTGCTGGGGGCTTCGGGGGTTAGGGGGTGGCAGGAACCACAGGGGCTGGTTGAGGGCTCCTCGCATGGGTCTCAGGGCCAGGAGTTCTCCCAAGTTTGGGAGTCAGGGTGGACCTTTCGGAATGGCATTTCAGGGGCCCAGTATGGAGGTTCTGGATTTGGGGTACCAAGGAAGGGCAGAAGCCCATGGTTTCCAGGTTTGGGGCACAGGAATCTGGTACACGTCTCCAAAAAAAAAGAATCCTAGAGTTGGTGGAAGTCCTCTAGGGAGAATGGAGATTTCTAGTTTAGTGGGAGGTCTGGATCAGGTACAGAGAGCTCTCCAGCCCAGGGGGATGGGGTGGGGGGTGGGGGTTAGGTCGGTACCCAGGATGGGTGGGGACGCCGGGTGGGATTTCCAATTGGGGCTAAGAGACTTGCTCCCGGGTTCCGGTTCTGGGCTCTCCAGTGGTGGCTGGGGACCAAAATCAGAGCTGAGAGGGTCTGGGCAGGGCCCCGGATCAGTGGCCACGTAGGCTGGGGCCTCTAGACAGATTTTCCCTTGAGTTGGGGTTCTCCAGGGTCCGGCCTGGGGTCCCGCCCGGACTCGGGCTGGGGTTGAGGTGGGCCGGGCCGTTCACCTGGTAGCGCAGCCGGGACTGCTTGTCCTCGTCGGCCACCTCGAACCGGGCCCGGCGCTCGAAGTGCAGCGGCCCGAAGCGGGCGACCCCGCTGAATTCGGGCCCCGGGCCCGCGTCCTCCAGGGACAGCTCGAAGGCGTCATCGATGCTGAACTGGGGCCGGGTGGCGCTCATGGCCCCGGCCCGCTCAGGCGCCCCTCGCCGCCGCCATCCGTGCCCGCCTGCCCCTAGCGCCGCGGTCCCGCCCCCGCACGCAGGCCCCGCCCCGGGCCGTAGTCTTGGGAGAGCGACTGTCCGGCGTCCCGGCCGAGGCCCCGCCCCCACGTAACGGCCCCGCCCCTGCTCGCCTGCAGCAGGCCCGAGCTGCCGAGCGCCGAGCGGACCAGTGGGCGGGGCCTCCTTTGGGGACTACACAGGAGCCGCGGCGCCTCCCAGCGGCAGCCTTCGTGAGCCACAGCGGGATTGCCTAGGCAATTCCCGGGTCTGTGTCAGGGGCTTGGAGGGGTAGCTAGGGCGCCAGCCTCCCAGGCCCGAGATGGGGCCTTCCGCATCCCAGCCCGCGCCTCGAGTGCCAAGGAGACTCCTGGGACCAGACTGTGTCCCCACCCTGACTCACCGCTGATCTGCACGGTGTGGGTATTCTCACCACCGCGGATGTGGAAACTGAGGCTCAGAAAGCTTATGTGGCTTCTACTCCTCCAACCCAGTGTCTACTCAGCAGCCAAAGTGATCTTTTAAAATGTATCTGATCTTTTTCTCTGTGTGTTATTTTTTTAAAAGATTTATTTATTTATTAGAGAGAGCGTGAGGGAGAGAGCAGGGAGAGGGGCAGAGGGAGAGAGAGAGAGAGAGAATCCACAAGCAGATGCCCCTGAGCGAGGAGTCCCAGGTTGCCTGATCCCAGGACCCCGGGATCATGACCTGAGCAGAAACCAAGAATTGGCCACCTAAGGACTGAGCCACCCAGGTGCCCCTCTCTGTGTGTTATTCTTAAGTAAAAAAAAAAAAAAAATTTAATTAAAAAAATTTTAAGTATGAGGCTAAGTCACTCTGTATAAAACCGTCCCTTGGTTTTCCATTGTGGTTGGAATGATATCTGAGCTCTTTTTGACTAAGGCCCACAAAGCTGTGAATGCTCTGGTCCTTGTCTACTTATCCAATCTCATCAAGCCTCCTCTGCCCCTCTTTCACCCACTCTGCAACACAGGCCAAACTATTCTCACCTTAGGACCTTTGCACATGCTGTTCTCTATACCTGGAAAGCACTTAACCTTGCTCTTTCACAACTGGGTCTTTATCATCTGTGTCCCTGTTCAAATGTCACCTTTCACGGGTGCCATCCCTGACTATGCAATCTAAAGTCAGTTTCACATTACACAGCACTTACCTGAACTTCACTTATTTTACACGGTTTTATTCTCCACTGTGTCCACAGTGCATAGAACAGTGTTTGGCACTGAGTAGAGGCTTCTTAAATATTTGTGGATGAAATGAATGAACGAATGCTTTGCCAAAATCCCAAATGCTTACGGGTGGTAGAATTGGGGACCCAAGCTCACCTAGCTCCCGGGGTGCTCATCCTGTACCCACCACGCTTCATTGTATGACCTCACAGACAGAGTCGAATCAGTCCTGCTTTTCAGTTTATGACACATCACCACTAAGAACCGGGGCTGTCAGTGTGTGCAGTCAGCTTCCCTGCACCCTGCCCGGTTCTCTACTACACGTGGCTTGGCTCCTATGTGGATGTTTGCAATCTGCAAACATGGTGTCGTGTATAAAACTCATTCTGTTGTTTACATTTTTGCATTTTTTACACTCAACACTCATGGTTTCCATATGCGTCTCATTCGTTGCTTCTACCAGTCGCATATAGCGTACCATGTTGAGCATTCAGCAAGCACGTTTATTACCCGCCACACCCTTCAGCGATGCACACTTAGCTGGGCCTTGATGCCCCTGTCACATCAGTGCCAGGAACACCTTCATGCTACCTCCTTATGGGTGGTGGGAGAATTCTTGAAGTAGGACTGCCAGGCTATAGGTACATGCACCCTTGACTTCACAAAGCACCCAAGATGCTCTCCCGGGTGGCTGGATGAACTGTCACACTCACCATGAGGGTTCCGGTTTTGTCTTAGCACTTGGTATTCCAGCTTTCAAATGCTTACTAATCTGATGAATCTAAAGTGGTTCCTAATTTCCATCTGGGTCCTCTGACAACTGGGGAATTTGAATAGCTCTTCATGGACTTGGCAGTCGTGGTGGTTCCCTCTTCTGCGAACTGTCTGTTCATATCCTTTGTCTATTTTTTTCTGTTGGGCTTCTAGCCTTCTTTCTGCTGATCTGCACGTCTCTACGTGGCTAAGTACCCATGCCTTGGAGATGTGCAGATCTCTTCCCTGGCTCTGTCTCCTTACTTTGTCTAAACTTCCCTTAGTTAACAATGCTCGGAGTCCTGCGGTGCAGTGCAGGCTGAGGCCCACGTCACTCCTGGGCATTCTCGGTGAGTGCTGCTTTGGCTTCTGCTGGGCCCCAACCAGCGGATGATGGGGGCTCTCAGTACCAGCGCTGCCCAGGAGTGGCTACTGGGATGGGCCTCTACCTCCTCTCCCATGCCCAGCACTCTTCCTCTTTGACCTGCAGGGGGTGCCCCAAGAACTCTCCCTGGGCTCACCTGAGAAACCTGCTGCAGAGGATTCCTGAGGAGTTCAAAGACTTTCTGCTACGGGACCACCCAGCGTGCTTGAAGTCCTGCCTGTTTTGCCAGCTTCTGCTTTCTTTCTCATTGCCACATATGCCTTCTCCAAATGAGGCTTCTCCAAATGAGGCTGCAAGGGGATCCGCACCCCCTTCTACTCAGTTCACACCATGACAACTCGAATTCCGGCTCTCTCCACATTTCTATTTGAGGCCTTCTCTGCAGCCGGTGGTTTCAAAGGACAAGGACCTAAGACTTTCCATGAACATCTAACCCTTCTGTGTGTCTCTGCTTCCTACTTTCTCATTCGTATGTTTCTGCTTTTTGTGTTGCAGAGCTCCTCCTACAAGTATGAGAAGGAAAGAAAAGAAAGAAAAAGAAGAGAGAAAGAGAAATAACCGCTGGCCCAGGGTGGAGATGCCCACAGGGCAGTTTCCTGTTGGACCCAGTGTGAGGAAAACCGCTCAGAAGCCATGTCTTCGGGAGCTTTTGAAACACACCAGTGGCAGCACACGGGAGGAAGGCACTGGCAGGAGGCACATCGAACCCTCACCTTCTAAGGACATGTCACTGGAGGATGGACAGAGGGCTGTGGGCGAGGTTATCGGGAAGCGGTGCCCAATACCTCCCTGTGTGCCCGAGTTCCATCGCGAGCAGGACCAGACCAGAAACTGCATAGACTTCCAAGAAACATGGTCTGTTTGGCATGTTCATGAGTCATTTGACCCACAGTACACATGTGACTGAACCCTTGACTCGTGATTTTCTACAGCATATCACTAATCGGTGAAAGGAAGAGTGGGATTTTTCAGGCCACTTTTAAACTCAAAATTATGCCTCTTTAACATTCGTTAAAAATGATATCACGTTTTCTTTCTTTTTTTTTTAAAGTTTTTTTTTTTTTTAAGATTTTATT